GCTCTTCCTTCCTCGAGGAACGCAGCAAGGTCGATTTCCATCTTTCAGTATGAGTGAAGTTCCTGTTCCGGAATGAATAAATAAGAAAGCCTTTTCGAGCTCTTCAAGATTAGGGTTTTCTCCATGGGACTTCTTTCTTCTCGACAATAGAGCAACAACGAGAAAACAAAAAACAACCAAATGAAAACAGCAACTAACAATGGCTCTTGGCCCAGACAACGTCCTAGGCGGAGGGGGGAGCGGAGCAACAGGGAAGGCCTAGACGGACGTTTAATCCTACCAAAAAAAGAAAAGAAATTGCAGGAAACATTAATGGCAAACAAAAAAGGAAGAGAAGTTAGTATAAATGCACATCAAGATAAAAATAGTTAGGTGAGGATACTTCTATACTATACCTGAGTAGTAATTAGTAAACAACCTTGAATAAAATATAGAGTTGACTTTGCATTTTCATAATGGAATCATTAAGGTAACATGGAGTTACTGAAATAAAATAAAAATAAAAATATATTTAATTTAACGAATAAAAATATAAAAATAAATTTATTTTAAAGGTTTTCAGAGTGAATTTATATAATTTTAAAACAAAAGATACACATGGAGACATGTCTTTAAAAATAATATTTTAAATTTTTTATTCATAAAATATTTATATAAAAAACTATTAATAATAAACTCATTTAACAAAAACTTATAAAGCTAAAAAATTATTATTATCATAACTTTATAACCCGACTTGAAATAGGGTTCACCTTATGGGTTGGGAATATCAACTATAATTTTTTTTAAATCAAAATGATATTCTTTTGATCATTTTTTTTTAAAAAAATAGGTTTTTGACCTGGAATTTAATTAGGTTGACTAGGTCACGGTTAGCTTAGGTTTTTTATTGAGTCAATAAAGGTCAATCCTTCCTCTAGTTTTTCTTAAACCTGAATTGGTTCAGCCCCTAGATTGTTATGGTTCTAAGTCAATCCACTAGGTCGATATAGGTTTTATAACTAGGGTTTTATGTTTTTGTTAATTTTAAAAATCAATATAAACTAAAGTTATATGTATATATTTGACAGTAATATACATTAAGGGTAAAATATAATTTTTCATATTTTATTTTGTTTATATATCATCAACCAAACATCATACTACGATGATTACTGTTATAAGAGAAAGCTAATAAGACAACATAAATAAACACATAACAAAGCTAATAAGACAACATAAATAAACGCATAAAGCACAAGCAATTTAATAAGTGAAAAAAATGCAAGTATGGACTCTAATTTTGTAATTTTATTATTTGAAAATAAAATATATGGTGGATGTCTCTTCAAAAGGTTTATAAGACTTTTAAATATAATAACTCTATCTTTTCTAAAAAACAAATAGAAATATGAATTAAGACATAAAATCTAAAAATATCTAGGAAAAATAACAAAATTAACTCAAATAGCATTATCCAAGCACGAAACTTGATTTTGAAAGATCCAAAAAGCAACGCAATAGCTTTTTCATAAGAAACCTGATTTTGGAATCACCTGAAAATATCTAAGCCTAATTCAAAAGTCAAATATTTTATTATTGTCATTTTAATTATTTTTTTAAAATAGAGTCATGCATATAGGCTCAGACAAGGAGGCCCATATGCCCAACTTGTTTTAATGAGGCTTAATGGTGCTTGCTTCAATAATTTTTTAATATGGGTTTTATGGAGTTTTTTCATGATTTTTTTTTAATTTTATTCTTTAAAATTAAATAATTTTTAATTGGGCTTTTGTGATATGTTTTGGTTTGGATTCTATAGGATTATTGCTATCATAAATGAATGTCCTAAAATTTTGTTAGTTTTTATTTTTATAATCCTTTATTTTATATAAAAAATAATTTTACCAAAAAATAATCAAACCCAACGAGGTGTATAACACTAATTATTGGTTTGATAACTTAACTCGGGTGCAAACAAGTTTTTTTAGTTATTTTTTATTTCATCTTTCAATATTGATTTTGTTAGAAAATAGTCTATTCCTGAGGTTTTTTTTTTTTTGCGACAACTAGTTAAATATATAACTGGATGAATATTAGTAGTAAATTTTTTACCAGAAAAATGAAGGTAACGACAACAATCATTGTAACAAGTTAATAGTTAGTTAACAAGTTGATAGTTAAGTGGTTAGAAGTTAGAAGGGAAGAATTCATGTAAATCAAGTAATAAAATTCAGTTTCTATTAACTTTTTTTTTTATTCTATACTCTTTCTTTAATGATTACATTGTTTTGTTAATGGAAGCTGTAACAAATTAGTATTAAAGCATCAATTCATGGTCAATAGTGAAACATGTGTTGTTAGGCAATATGGTGGAAAATAACAAACTAGAGGCTTTAGAAGAATACATAAAGAGACTTGACTTGATGAAGAAATACAAAGTATTCATCAAGAACTTCAAGATTTCATAGTTGAGAATCAGAAATAATGGTTTAAACAAAACAAAAGAACTAGATAAACCAACCTACAAATGGAAGTATTGATGACCATATTAAAGTCATTTATGGCCAATCAAGTGGCAAATAAAGAAAAGGGAATCATCTCAAGTCTTGATAAGGTGATTTCTAATTATAGAGATTGCAAATATGGAGAAGTAATAGGAAACCAAAATTTCCACAAGATTGTGTGACTACCTACTTTTTATGAAGATAATACAAGGAATTGGATAAGAAAATGTAAGAAGTTCTTCCTGATGCATTTTACTTTAGTGCATTAATGGATGAAGATAACTTCTTTATATCTAGAAGGAAAGGTCAAATTATGGTATGAGGCTTCTTACTAGGTGGAGATGATTTAAAAAATCGATAAAAGTTCATAAGAGCCATTTACATAAAGTTTGACTTAAAGATAATATGGTAGAAGAATTTAATATGTTGATACAAGATAAGGGAGTAGAGGAGTATGTTTAAAAGATTTAAAGAACTCAAATCTTTTATGAATGCCTTGAATGTATCACTATCAATATCATATTATATTAGTAGTTTTATAAGTGGACTTAAAGATGATATTAACCCTATACTTAATATTTAAAAAAAAAAACAAGTTTGATACAAGCTTTTGATAAAGTTAAATGGCAAGAAGAAATAATGTTTTGGTCAAGAATAACATATTTATACCAAGAACCAATCTTTTATATGGTTTACGTAAACCAATAGGCAATTTCTACTTTAAACCTCTTAACCATTCAAAAAGAGATACCGTATAATATAAAATAATAGCTTAAAACCTTACATGAAAAGAGAATAAGGTTAGGGTGTGTTTTAGATTTAGGGAGAATTATGCAATTAGGCATCAATATAACAAAAGAGGGTTGCATATGATAGGAGTAGAGGAAAAAAATACATAATTTATAAATGTAGATGAAAAGGACAGTAATGTAATGACAGTTAAGGATGAAAAAAATTAAAGATTATGGATTTTTCTTGAATGCACCGACAAATAGTTATGTAAATACCATAAACAAGATTAAGGGTTGCTATAAAAAAAGGAACATTATCAATTTGATTGATAGTGGTAGCACACATAGTTTCATTGATGCACAAATGCTTGAAGAAGTCAAGGAAATCATTAAAAAAAACCTTTATACTAATGGAAGTATAATGAGATATGATATTGATAATCCCAAGTTCACATGGTCTATGCAAAGATATGAACTCCAAATTGATTTGAGAACATTAAAACTCGACATGTGTGATATGATGCTTAGGGTAGATTGATTGATGATTTACTCACCAATTATATTTGATTTCATTAAAATGAAATTACAATTCAAGAAAGATGGCAAAATGATTAAGTTAAAATGAATTATGGAAGAAGCAAGATTATAAGTAGTAGCCAAGGCACATAAAAGTTTAAAAGAATTATTATATGGTTTTGCAATGCAATATTTTCCATAAAAGCTTCTCTAGTACCAAGAAAAGGAGTATATAATTCAAAAGTAAAGGCATTGTTAGAACAGTAGCAATAAAAGTAAAGGCATTGTTAGAACAGTAGCAATTTATGTTTATAGAATCAAAACATCCTCCATCTTTCAGGAGCATAGATCACAAGATGCTCTTGATACCAAAAGCTAAACCAATCAATATCAAGCCATATAAAAGCTCTTTCATGCATAAAAAACAAGATATATAAGTTGGTAAAAGAGATGTTATAAAATGAAAATAATTAACACAACTACAACCTATTTGTTTCTCTAGTATTATTGGTTAAGAAGAAAGACAATAATTTGAGGTTATGTGTAGAGTATACACAATTGAATATATTGATCGATGATTTAATGGATGGATCAGATGCCTCTTAACTCATCTTTAAGATAGATTTGAGGTTAAAAAATCACCAAGTCAAAATATATGATAAAGATATATAAAAGATAACTTTTGAGACTTATAGTGGGCACTGTAAGCTTAAGGTTTAATGAATAATAAGATAGAATCTTTCTTAAGAAGATTTGTATTGGTATTATTTAATGACATACTAATATATAATTATACTCTAGAACTACATATCTAATCATCTTAAGTCAGTATTGGAAAATGGAGAAAAAATAATTTCTTTACAAATCAATTAATTTTTTTTATGAACAATAAATAGACTATATATTGCATATTATTTCAGCTAAAGATGTCGCAGTTAATCTAAAAAACATAGAAGTTATCAAGAGTTGGCTAGTTACTTATACAATCAAGGAATTAAGGGGCTTCTTGGGTTTGTTAAGGAATTTAATATTATTAGTAAATTATTAACTGATCTATTGAAGAAGAATATTTTTAATTGGAATAACATGGCTTAAAAAACTTTTGACTAACTAAAAAAAATTTTATACGCAACACCAATGCTAGCATTGTCAAATTTCAATAGTATTTTTATGTTGGAAAGTGATGATTATACTGATGAATTAGGTGTAATCCTTAGCTAAGAAAGGAGGCAATTAATCTTCTTTACCAAGGTCTCAAGTCCAAGACATTTAGGATTATCAATTTACATAAATGAGCATATGGCTATATTAATAAGAGTTGGAAGATGGAGGCATTATTTGAAGCATGATTAATTCATAATTAAAAAAGATTACAAAAGTCTAAAATATTTTTTTAGAACAAAAGATTCATACTCCAATATAGAAAAAAAAAAACTAAACTAATAGGACTTGTGTATCAGATTTTATATATAAAACACAAAGATAATTTTGTAATAAATGCATTATCTATAAGGATTAGAGGTGAAGAAGGTTCAAAACTAAATATAAAGAAATGAGGTAAACAATATTAATTTAAAAATATTCACTATATTGATACCAATATAGCATGAAAAGGTTAATGAAACTTTTGAAAATGATTCTTATATACGAAAGATTATTGTTGAGAAGATAATAAAAACAAGTAATTGGCCAAATTATACTTATACAAAAAGAGTTCTAGAATTTAAAAATAGACTAATAATTGACACAAAAAAGAATATAAGAAAATATTAATTGATGCTACTTATGTCATATATATATATATATATAAAAGGTCATATAAGGACTCAAAACTTTTACAAAAAAAATAAAGAAAATGTTTCATTAGTCTTTAATGAAGAAACTGGTTGAAATGATTGTAATAGATTATGATGTTTACAAACAATCTAAAATGAAGAGAATAACTTTTCTACAATCTCTTTTAATTTCAAAAGGAATATGTAGATATATTATTATGAGTTTTGTCGCACCCGACATCGCGGCGGCCTAGATATTATTATGAGTTTTATAGAAAGATTGCCTCAGACAAAATAGAATGATACAATCATAATGGTAGTTGAAAAAAGTCACCAAATATGGACATTTCATAACTCTATCACATTCATTTACAGCTTAGGACGCAACTCAAGTTTTCATAGATTATATTTACAAATCTTATGGGTTACCAACAACTATTATGATAGATAAAAATAAGGTTTTTATCAACTCATTTTTTAAGGAGTTGTTCAAAATGTTAGTGATTAAATTATTAGTTTTTTATACCACCATTGACTAATGTTCAAAGTAAAAAATATATTAATGTTTGGATACCTATTTAAGATGTATGATGATGTATAATTCTAAAAAGTAACATCACTAATTATCTTTACCTAAATTGTGGTATAATACCAATTTTCACTACGCTATCAAAATGAGTCCTTTCCAAGCTTTGTATTGATATCTTTCATCTTGCTTTTTTTTTCAAGTAAAAGTTTTTGATTGCTAAGACAAACTAATATTGTTAAGCACCTTATAAAACTTTAACTTTTTAAATTAGTCATAAAAGATAACTAAGTCGTATTATTTTATTTTTGATAAAAAAATATTTTTAGGTAAGTTTTTTTTTCCAGATGATCAAATGCATATCTTTACATTAATACCATCCATTAAGAAAGTTTAATAAATTTTTATAGTGATGGTGTTGATTTTAAATTTTAAATCTATAAAGCTATAACAAATTCATAATTCACTCCATAAAACTATACAAAATATATTAAAATAAATTAAAAGTTATAATCTATAAGAAAAAATCTAAAGCTTTGTTCTAGTAAATATTGCTTTGTCACAAAGATCAATTATAAATTCACTTTTGTTCTTTTTAACATAATAATAGTAATAATAATAATAATAAAAAGAAAAAGAAAAAGAAAAAAAGAAGATCAACAAAATTAGGTAGCATAGTAACGGCTTCCGTTATCTCCAGAAAGAAGATGACGTAAAGACGTCTACAAACTTCGCTTTAAAGTCTAAACAACCCACTCTCGACTCTTCACAATCTTCTCTCTCTCTTTCTTATAAAAAAATAAATAATAATAGTAAAAACGAATTCTCTCTCGTCAGGCATTTCTCGTTTCTTGTAACAAACTCAAATTCCACCCCTCACATGTTCCATCAACCTAACTCCAAACGATGACCACCAACACTACCGCGGCAACCACCAACAACACCGCCATCAACTCGAGTTCCAAGTACGGAAATCAAGATCCAGGCTCATACTTCATAGACGTAGCACGGCAGTACTCATCACCAGTTGGCGGAGAAACAGAGCTTGAACCGACGGAGTTAAACACAGTGAAAAGTTCTGGAGGGTTTCTTGTGGTTTCCATTGATAAATTGAGTGTTAAATACACAAGTGTCAATCTTCATGGTCATGATGTTGGTGTTATTCAAGCCGATAGACCGGCTCCGGAAAAACGGCTTGTTTATTATTTTGAGATTTATGTAAAGAATGCTGGTGCTAAAGGACAGATTGCTATTGGTTTTACCAATCATGCTTTCAAGATGAGGAGACAGCCTGGGTACGGCTTTTCTTTTCTTTCTTTACCAATTTGATTGTAATGTAGAGTCAGTGAGGGAATGCAATTAGGGCTTTTTGTTTGGTTTTTGAGAGATTTTTAGTTGCTACTTACGGAAGCTAATGAATTGGGTTTCTAAGATTACATTTTGGCATATTTTTGGTTCATTAGAAAATGTATAAAGAAAGAAAAGGGAAATTATTTGTGTATTATAAATGCAGTCAAATATTCCATTTTAGAATGCTCCACTGACAGGGTTCTTATACGGTAAAAATGTTCTTTTGAAAGTATAATTATTACAAGTGCTTGATTGGAAATGTGGGTTTACGTTCTTGCGCACTTTGTGCGAGTTTTGAATTGCAATGACTTGTTAATGATAGTAATACTGTGATTCATTATTTGTTTCTTTCCACTTTTATTGGTTGGGCAGGTGGGAAGCAAACAGTTATGGATATCATGGGGATGATGGCAATCTTTATCGTGGACCTGGAACCGGGGAGGCATTTGGACCAACTTTCACGACCAATGATACAGTTGGTGCTGGTATCAACTATACTTCACAGGAATTCTTTTTCACGTGAGTAAGTTGGCTCACATTGATTTATGGATTGCTAAAATTAAACACCTTTTGCTCTGAGTGATCGGTAATTCTACTTCGTGAACTCTTCTTCTATTACTTCTCCTCTCATTATTACCTGTTCTCATTGTGCTGATATCAGTAAAAATGGAGCACTAGTTGGGGCAGTGTACAAGGACATGAAGGGTTTGCTGTTTCCTACTGTTGCTGTTCACAGCCAAAATGAGGAGTATGTAGCACCTCTTTTAACTATTTAGTATTATTCTTGGACAGCTTGTCGATTCTTGTGCAAGATTTAAATATCCAGATATAGAATAATGTCTTGTGGACACTTTTTGTTTGTTGAACTTGTGCTATCAACATCTCTTTCCACCTATAAATTCTTTTCTCTATGCATGGTTCTTATTAATTATTTATATATATGGAAAAATGAATTTAAATGCATTTTGATTTTATTTTCCTTTCCTTTGCTAATTGTACTCGCATTACCATTATGCTAGAGGATCTGATAACTCCAGGTACATGTTAATCTGGCAGGATTGAAGTCAACTTTGGGAAGAAACCATTTGCTTTTGATCTTAAGGCAAGATATCCTTTCTTTTGCTTCATTCTTGTAGGCATTTTTCCTCTTTTTCTGGTTAAGCGGGTTTGCAAATTTTTTCTTCTCTGTGCAAGGTCATTGCTTAAGCCCGGGAAGGTCAATTTTGTTTTGTATGGTAGGCGATAAAGTTCAATGGATGACCTTCACTTTCCACGTAGTTATATGATTCAATGGTCGTAGGTTTTTACCTGGAATGGTGCTTGGTGGTGTATTCTTATATTGATATATAACTTTCTATTTGTTTCTCCATAGCTTGCCTTTTGGAAGAAATTAATCTATCACTTCGTTTTATTAGTGTTCATAAGACAAACAATGAGAAGATGGAAGTTTAGTGTTGAGGGACACTTGTTGATTTGATCTTATGTTTAACCTTGCTGACTTTCTGTAACATGGTCTTCATTTCTTTTAGGTGATACAGCAAACAGCTTACAATATCACTTCATGAATTGTTTTGAAACAAGGCTAAATACGATGTAATCTTGGCACAATCCACATGTTGCATGCCATTTCTTATCATTCTGGGTCTGCTTATACAATTCTCTAGATGAATGGTTTCTTCATCACCTGGCTTTAGTTGTCTTGACTTTTTAGGCTAAAACATAATTTACAAATTTGTCATTCTAGTTTGTCAATAGACTGACCACTACTTTGTATCCTTGCTTAGGAATATGAAAGACAAGAAACGATGAAGCAACAAATGAAAGTTGACAAAATATCTTTACCGCCAATTGTTAGTTATGGGTAAGTCTACATTAGATTTAAGTCTCCTTTATATATACAAAAAAGTTTCTGAATTTAGGTCTGTGTAACTTACAAATATGCTTGTAATTGGAGTTTTACTTACCTATAATATGATGTCCATACCTCAACAATGAAAGAGCCAGTTGGAAACTGATATTGGAATTAATGAATGGATCAAGGCTAGCTGTTCATCTTTGTTTGTCTCTTGTTAACATCAGCTCCTCCTTTTCCTCTTCCAGTCTTTAATTTTGTTTATCTGAAATTTTTGACCCTGGGTTTTGTGATGGGGCATGGCTGAAGTGGCCTTGGTTTAAAATCTTATAAAATAACCAAAGAAAGAAGTTTGAAAAGCCCTTTGGTGTATTTAGAAATAGGGTAGATTACAATAACCCTCGAGATTTTATAAACCTAAAGAGCTGCTCAAATGTTTGAAGACATTACAAAAATTCCTTTTGCATCTATAATTTCATTGAAAGGGGATGATTTTGAAAATATCAAGGGCAGTTTAGGGACTACAGGAGATTTTTGTAGTATTTTCTTAAATGTGGAAGGGGTTTCTGTTAAATCCTCAAACTTTGGATGGCTTGTGTAATTTCACAGTACCTGAGGGGGGCTATTGTAATTTACCCTTATAAATAATAGTAGACTTGCTAACTCGATCACAGTATTTGATCTTGCCCGCTACCAATAATCATCATCTATTATCATTATTTCTGGATAATTTAGTTAATATTTATTTTTATTCCATGGGCAGACTTGTTCGCTCGTACTTATTACACAATGGCTATGAAGAGACACTCAATGCATTTGATGTGGCTAGTAAAAGTACTATCCCTCCTATGTATATAGCTCAGGAAAATGGCTCTGGTGAACAGGACATTGCATATGCATTAGCACAGAGGAAAGCTCTTCGACAGGTATGAAATTGTTTGCCAATGGCTGTTCATATTAAATTAATAGTTCATATTGGCTGGCCTTAGTTTCTGCATGCACTGTGTTGAGTATATGACAAATGCAAGTGGCATTATGAATAACTAAGATACCCTGGAGGGATATTTTGATCAAAAGCTCATTACCATCTTTAGAGTTCCACTTGGATATTATGTATTGATGTCTTGTGTGGCTAGGGTTTATGATCCCTGAAATGATGCATTCTCAGATCGTTGCTCTTATAATTAGAGGTTCTGCTGTTTTATGAATTCATTGGGCACCATGTGTGTTTTGAGTGCTTCTCTTTTGTGAATCCTATACTTGGTATTCCACCCTTTGACATTCTTTTAGGAATGTATTGGAGTGCTTCTGAGATGCACAAACATTGAAAATGGTGCTAAGCTCAGTTGGGGTAGGATCTGGAGGGTGATCAGCTTCAGAGAATGCGATGTCTATATGTTAATTTAAATCTGTTATCTGGAAGGAGTAGATTTGTGCGTGTTTCATGTGCAAGCAATGTAATGACCTGATAAAGATGTGTGGTATTGGATGCTGGTAACAGCTAATGAATAACATAACCAGGCTTTTCTGGTACACGAGTTCTACTTTATTTGGATTTGTTCCACAGGGTTAATTGGAAATATTGGGGATGCTTGCTTGCTGCAATTCCAAAAGTATTGGCTTAAACATGCAATGCTGTAGGTATGAGTCTTGAGATCAGCCATGTATACACAAATGTTGAAGGATAGGTTGCAGCAAGAATTTTCATTTAGGTTGAGCATTTTCTACTATGCTAAGATGGTCATAATTAAATTCAAGAGGATCTGATTTGTTAAATTATTTCTCATATGGCGTCTTTCATGAAATACTTCAACTGTGATGATCATCATGCTTCTGGATATCATTGTTCATATTCTTCAATCTGTCATGACACGCGTGGAATATCTATTCTATTTAAACCACTTTTATTTATTTATTGTTTCTTTTCTTCATTGTGAATATGGTATTTGTTTTTGCTGACTTATTTTCCCCTTTGAAGCTAATCAGAAACGGTGAGATTGATTCTGCACTCACCAAACTTCGTGAGTGGTATCCCCAAATTGTTCAGGTGAACACTATTTACAGCGTGGTTGCTATTTTTAGTCTTGTGTTTCTATTTAATATGTACATGGTATGTAGATGACTTTGACATTCAAGATTTCATTGTGAATTTTCTGGAATCTTGATATGTACTAATAACCATTAACTTCAAGTGTGTCCACGCCTCCTAATCTAATGGTTTCTCTAAATATTATTCTTTGATATCTTATAATCATCTAGATGACCTGTTCATTATAATTATTGTCACCATGACTTCAGTACATTCAGATTGTCCAATATTATCCTGTTAAATAGAGATAGTCATGATGCCATTGTGACAGGCTGGCTCACAACTGTGACATAATTGTTGCATAGTTTATTACCTCTAGATGGGTTTGGCAGTTAGATTCAAAGGTCTAAGGCCCCCATCTGGGAATGTTGGGGCTTAAATCAACCTCAAGTCAAATTTGTTTTGGAAACATTTGTAGGACACTTTTCCCACTGATCTACCAAGCTTCCCCTGTCCTGCCTCGCTACAGTATAATTTCAAAACATTAGATGTTATTGTTGCATAATTCGCAAACACGTAGAAGAAAATATGACCTTTTCCTTGAATGGATGCTAGATGAGTCAATTCCCTCATGATTGCTGGTACATAATATAAATTGTCCTCTATTAGTTGCTTGCCCATTCTGTGTATATGGGAACTAATACAACCCTCCGTTGATTATGAAAGAGAATTTCATGCAACTGTTGCCAAAATAGTCATCTGTCTGTCTTAAGGACTAAAAGGGCTCCCAATTAATCAATATCTGTTAATAAATAATATAATCTCGTGAGCTTTAAATCAACCTTTAATTCCTTTCTTTTCACTCTTCTAACCTGGACTTGTAGGGACTTAAATTTATGGCATCCTCAATTATTTATTAGCCTTGCATTGTTGCTGGCCCTGTTATGACATTATTGTTATCAGCTTTTTAAGGGTTTTTTTTTTTTTAAAAAAAAATCTATGAGCACAGCCAAAGCACGTCTTTGAAATTTCTGTCATGAGATTTTAATATTAAACCTCACATGGTTTTCATCATGTTTTGCTGTTCATGTGATTTTTTTCTGTGGCATTCAATTTTCTATTTAAGCAGATAGGTATTAATTGCAATTGTGTGATTAGCTTTACTTGAAAGCTCACATTGTGTGATGCCTGTTGGAATGGGTTTGCCAATGCATAAAAGAGTTGGGAGGTGCATGAGCTTTGATTTATGTGTGCTATCTGGTTTATTTTACATCATCCCATCATGCCCAAAAGCCAATTTGCTAAATTGGATTGTTGATGCTAGATAACAGTAAAAAATGAGATCATTATTATGAGTTCATGTTAGTTTAAGTTCTGAATTATGAACTTGCATTTGTTTTCATTATGTCAACACAAAATTTGGATGTTCTGTCGTTGTTGATCAATAGATTTTATCTGATGTGATCTCTATCTTTATTAATATGACATGTGAGGTGTGTGTGTGTTTTTTTTTTTTTGGCAGGTTGAAAAATCAGCCACCTGCTTTCTGCTTCACAGTCAAAAGTTTATTGAACTGGTTCGGGTATATGTTGTTTCCCTGTTTAATTTGCTAGTCTTATTTTCTAATAAAGAAAATATTTAACTCGTAGTTATGAATAGAGACTTGCATGGATGTACATTTTCTGAAAGTTGCTTCAACATATCTAGAAACTTGATTCTGCCTCTTCTTCTTCTTCTTCATAATAATAATAATAATAATAATGAAATGCTTATTACTATTATTATTTTATTTTTGTTGTATGCATGTATTTTCAATGATTTTTTTTCATCCAATCAACCAGTGTTCCTTGTATAGCTCGCAATTAGGTTCTCCATGGGAATTGTTAACTGTTCTACTGTATGATCGTGATTTCATGTCTTTTGAGTACTTGACCGGATGTCTTATCATGCAAACTTCGTATAATGTATGTAGGCTGGAGCACTAGAGGAGGCCGTCCATTATGGAAGGATTGAATTGGCAAAGTTCTTTAAGCTGCCTGGGTTTGATGATCTAGTTCAGGTACTCAGTAGATTTTCTGTCAAGCACCATGTTCTCTTTGTCTTTTTGCGCATGGGGATTTTTCCTTCACACATAACTAGGGAGGAAAGAAAATCATGCCCCTAGCCCTAATGTTTAATGATGTCTCCTGTCTCATAGCAATCAAGTTTATAGCTAATTCACTGTTGATATTCCCTTGCTTTTGCAGGATTGCGTTGCCTTGCTGGCGTATGAAAAACCGCATCAGTGCTCGGTTGGGTATCTTCTCGAGGAGTCACAGCGTGAGATTGTGGCTGATGCTGTAAATGCCATGATTTTGTTAACAGGTCCCAACGTGAAGGATGCACAAAGCTGCTTGCGATCTCATCTTGAGAGGTTAATCAGACAGCTTACTGTTTGCTGCCTGGAGAGAAGGTCCTTGAATGGGGGTCAAGGTGAAGCTTTCCACCTGCATGGAGCACTAAAACTTCACAGCGGGAAGAGGGCCAAGTGCTCACATTTATAATTCTTGATTTTGCCATACTATTCATATGGGTAGTTGACTTTCCCTCGCTGCTTAGCTGATGCAATAATCAGATGCTCTGGGGATTCTCTACTCGCAAATATAATCTGAGAGGCAAGACACTATAAACTGTTTGTCTCCATGCGGCTGTTAGATTTGCCCGGAACATTTTGCTTTTAAGCTTTACTGTAAATAATTTGGTTTGCAAATGCTCAATTTGTTCAGTTGATATGCACAGTTGATTCTATGGAAAACACTGATTGTCTAAATGCACCATTGATTCTATGGGAAACACTGATCGCCATTCATTGAGATTTATTTATTTATTTATTTTGATAGATAGAAAAAATGCAACGTGCATCAAAGTTCGAGGAGGGGACAAATGCAGTCGAAAGGATTTTATTTCTTAAGGAGAAGATTGAGTGTTCAACTTCAAATTTTCAGTTAATGTTTCTTAAAAAAAATAAAAATCATAAAGGCACATTCCCTTCCTTCTTTGTTGCAGGCTACTGCTCTGAACCTGCTCATAAAGGCACATTCCCTTCCCTTTGTTGCAGGCTACTGCTCTGAACCTGTGACCGGATAACAAGAAACAATAAAGAACAGTAAGTGGGTGTACTAACTAAATGATAAATCTAAAGCATTTCATTGGATCAAATAAATTTTTTGCATGGTGATTCAAACATCAACACTAACTTACCTTCCTTCAAGCATCAACACTTTGCGGCCTTAACATACTTGATGAGCATGTCAACAACATCTGACTGGACCTCAGAGGCCGCCTTCTTCAGGTCTTGAATCTTCTCTTCAGTTTCCTCTCCAAGTCGCTCCGCTGTGAAGCCAGAGTTCCCACTTGTCTGCATGGTTTAAAAATCCAAACAAAATTGTAATTCGCATTCCTTATGGAAATAAATATAGCTCAGGAAACGTGTATGTATGCATACCTCATCTACTTTCTTTCGGTGCTCAGATTCCATATTGGAGCGATAAAGAGCTGCCTCTTTCTCAGCTTCTTCTTTAGCTTGCCTCAACCTTGTTGTCTTCACTGAACAGCAAAATGAGATTTTTGGCGGTGCAATAAAGTGTAAAGGAATAAAACAAAAACAACACGAGGAGATTTTCCAAACTATTTTGATGGTGGTCGTGTTATTATCTCCTTACAGTTTCTAGCAGCAGCAACCATTTGTTGGGCCTCCTGTTCTGCAGTGAGTAGCATCTGAATACCTTCATGACTGGAATCCATGGTAACAATGCAGCCTCAACTGGTAACAACTCCTTCAGAAAACAAATTCTCATTTTCAAGTACTTAAAGATGGCACCCTGTTAAAAAAAGCTCTCTACGCACAAGTAAACTAAACAAGAGCAGACCTTCAAGCTGATTAACAGAACCACCAGAATGCAGAGAAGCAAGTTAAAAAAAAAACTGATCTGAACCTTCAACTAGAGTGCACAAATGGAGTCCGAATCCAAATTGCAGAGAAGCAAGTTATATTTTTTTTCCTTTGAGAAATCTCTACAGGTTGTGCTCTATATCCACGCATGGTATTGCCAATCAAACTGGATAAATAAATTAATTTGGCTGAAGAAGCAATCGACTAGTGCAATTAATTTTTGCAGAACACAAATACAAAAAAACAAAATCACCATAGTTAAATGTGCATGCGCATCTCAAATGCAACGTGGGCAAAGAAATCATCACGCGTAAGAAGAAAATACAGCATAAATACCTAAGGAAAAGAAGGAAATGCTGAAGAATTCTCTCCACAAGCCCTGTCCCAGAATAGGGGAAGAAAGGAACTTGGTTTCTTGGAAATTTGAGGGGAAGAGAGAGATTTTCTCCATAATTAAAGCTGTCTGTTAATCAGGCTTTTTCCAAGTCAATACGGTTTGCGTGACGTGTAGCCATATCCTATCCTTGGAGGGCACTACTGGCAGCTGAGAGGATGATTAAGAAAAAACCATTTTATTTTACAATCTTTTCTAAGGTTTATTCGACATCTCTTTCTGAAGGGAATTTTTATTTTTTAGAGGGAAAAGCATCTTCACATCCATTTTTCCGCTTCCATTTCTTCATGGACTGTATAAATAATCCAGCAAACTTCTCCATGCTCTCTTTTTAAATTTAGCCTTAGACATTGTATGACAGTACAGTGCCCTAAAGCTTATCTTGAGCTAAGATCTTGAAGCTAATCAAGTAGTTAGTTGCACGTCATATAAAGATATAAAGATGAAGCCTATTTATTATTTTATTAGCGGTTATATTTTAAAGTATTTTTATTTTTTGATAAATATAAAAAATATTAACTATCTAAATGATTTTTTAACCTTTCAAAAGATTTGTTAAAAATTTAATGGTGTAAAAACATACAAAAAGTATAACAACAATTATATATATATATATATTTTGTAATACGGTAAGTATGGTAAATAATAGAACCAACTAAATGCATTTTATTAAGATCATGGAGTATAAGATTGACATAATGAGTGCCATAAGGAGATCAATATAGTGATGGAAAGTCTTTCATCAATAATATAAATTTAAAGTATCATCAATCGTAAATGCACAATATTTCATAGCTTGACATATAAAACAATTTCTCTTAACATCTTGTGTAACAACTTAGGAGTCTTCAAAACATATAGATTTGCAGATTTTAAATATATTGTTTTTTTAAAACAATATACTAAGAAGTTAATTAAAGTTATCTTTTGATTTGGCCATCCATCAGTCATTATACAACTAGTTTTCTTTAAAGTTTCTTGATAACTCTCAATATAAGTCTTCATTTCATCAACAATCTTTGTCAAGTAATACGCACAAATAACATGATAGTTTGGTCATTTATAACCATGATCAATGACTATTATTACATCTATGACATGTGCATAAGACATAGAGTTAACAACATTGAATAGAATACATACATTAATCTTCTATTTTACGATAGAAGATCACACTCTTCAATAACTTCTTTATTTTACCAACAACTTTAAAGAGATTTTTAAGCTACAAAAGTTGTTCTCGACATGAAATAAACCTCAACTGTTTCAATCTTTTTTAGTTTCTCATTACTTGTAGCCATTATTTCAAAGTGATAGTGCTTTTACTTTGAACTCGTTTATTATTTTTTTCCTTTTTAACTTTCTTTGGTGGTAAAATCTATTGAATAATATCATCATATGATTGCCTATATATCCTTTTTTCATGAACCCTTTGTTGTGCACTAAAAGGATTAAAATCACTTCGCATCTCTTTAACTTTATTTATTTCTTCAACATTCATTCAAAGAATGACGAACATTTAGAGAAAACTTGCAATATTGTTCCATTTCTCTAATATTTCAAGCTAAAGGTTGCTTGAATCAATTAATACCACCACTCGTAAAAGCTTTGTTACAATACAATCACCCCACTTTATTGGAGTTATAGCACCAAAGTTGAAATTAATGTCTCAGCCATATGTTATCTTTCATTAATGTCTATTTATTAGTAACATCATTATCTTGATGTTGTTTAATTTGTTTTTACTTTTTTAGATTTGAAACGTATTTAGGATAAGTTATATGGCTTCTTAAATGAAGGAAATTATGGTTTTAACATTTTTTTTTTTGTTGTGTTTGATTTCTTCCATAAATGAAATAAGAGGGATGACAATAACTTCATCTGTTGAGTTTCTGCTCTTTATGCTTTATGTTTTTCACCTCTATTCTTTTTGTTCACTCTTCTTTGTTCTTTAATTAATGCTCTACATATATCATTTACTAACATTTGGTATCAAAGTATTTTCTTGATCTTAGAAAGGATTGTGAGTGAAACATGGGAGATTAGTGAGGTTAAATCAAAGCAGTGTTCTTTGAAGGGATTGAGAGTGAAACACGAGAGATTAAGTGAGTTTTTTTTTCTTTAAAGATTGTGAGTGAAACACGAGAATGATTTTTTTTAAAAAAAATGGATTATGTAAATTTCCCAACAAAAACACCAGTATTTACAGGGAAGAATTATGGTGTGTGAGTTGTTAAAATGGAAACTTATCTCAAAGCTTTTGACTTATGGGAGATAATAGAAAATGATAAGTAACAAACTCCACTAAGAAATAATCCTACGATCGCACAAATAAAGTTTTTTAATGAAGAAAAGACAAAGCAATTCAAAGCTCTTATCTGTCTTCATAGTATAATGAGTGAGATTTCCAGAATTATAGCTTGTAAATCTGCCAAAAAACATAAGATAAACTAAAAACAGAATTTTATAGAGATGAGAAGTCAAGAAAGATGCAAGTCTTGAATCTTAGAAGACAGTTTGAAGGACTAAAGATAAAGGAAAACAAGACTATCAAAGACTTTTCTTCTCAAAATTCAAAACTTGTGAATCAAGTGAGAATTTTGGGGGAAGACTTTCGAGATTCAAGAATAGTGGAGAAGGTTCTAATAAGTCTACTTGAGAAATTTCAGCATAAGATTTACTCTCTAGAAGATTTAAAAGATTTTTTAGGAATAGGTCTTCAAGAATTGGTTAATGCATTATAAGTAGTACATTAGAGGAAAACTTACAAACAAGAAGGAATAAGTGAAGGAGCTCTTGTTACAATTTTCAAATAGAAGAGTCGAGCTAATAATTCTAATATGAACAATCAAGAAGGAAAAAGAGAGAAAATAAAAGGTTGGCAATCAAATAACTAGCATCATAATAACATTACTAAAAGGAAAGAAAGAAAAGAGTAGTTCTCTCCCTATAAATTTTGTTAAAAAACAAATCATCTAAAAGTTTAGTATTAGCTTAAGAATGCATAATGCAGAAGTTGCAAACAATTTAGTCACATTCAAAGGTTCTGCAAAAACAAACCAGAAGCAAACAAGCTTATATTGCAGAAAATTCAAAAGCCAAGGAAGATCATTTATTCATGGTTATATTAGAATAGATATGCAACACAGTAGAGGTAAACAATTCGTCATGGCTTATTGATAATAGCTACACAAATCATATGATTGCATATTTGAGTTTATTCAAGGATTTAGATAAAAGCTAGATGCCCAAAGTCAAAATTGACAATGAAGAATATGTAAAGGTTAAAGGAAAAGGTGTAATTGAAGTTGAAACAATGTTAGGTACAAAAATTCTAAAAAACATGCTTTATGTGCTTAAGATTAATCAGAATCTAGTGAGTATGAGACACAATATTTGTGAAGTCTGTCAATTAGAAAAGCAGAATAAATTTTTTTTCCCTGATAATGCATTTAGAGCATCATCAAAACTCCAGCTAGTACACAAATATGTGTGTGGTCCGATGCATGATGAATCTTTGAATGGTTCAAAGTATTTTTTTTTATTTTTTATTGATGACTATAGTAAATTCTGCTGGGTTTATTTTCTTAAATGTAATGCTGATGTGTTTACTGAGTTTGTAGGATTTAAAACAGTAGTTGAATTAGAATCAGGAAACAAACTTAAGATAATGAGATCTGATAATGGGAATGAGTTTACCTCTCAAAAATTTAAGGAATACTTGGCAAAAAAAAGGATCAAACATCGGTTAATAGTGCCCTAGACTCCATAATGTAATGGAGTCAGTAATAGAAGAAACCAAACTTTGATAGAAATGACAAGATGTTTGCTATATGAGAAGAAAATGCCATCAAAATTTCAGGTAAAGGCAGTAACACAGCATCCTACCTTCTAAATCATATGGCCACAAGAGTTTTAGGAGACAAGACTCCTTATGAAATCAGGTATGGTTTTAAACCCAATGTTGAACAGTTAAAAGTTTATGACAGCCCTTGCTATGTCTTACAACCTAAAGTTAAGAGGAGAAAACTTGATCAAAAGCATGATATGAGAATTCTTATAGGCTACAGTATAAAATATAAGGCCTATAAAATCTATGATCTGAAATCTAATAAAGTTGTGATTGCTAGAGATGTAAAAGTTGTAGAGAATAACACATAGAACTAAGAAGCTGCATCAATTGAAAGGACAAAACAGGAGCATCGAATTGACTAGATGCTACAGAAGATGATGATACTGTCAATGACAAACTAGTAAGAGGGATAAAGTCCTTAGTTGACATTTACAATAGGTGCAATGTTACTGAAGTAGAACTAATAAATATTGAAAAAGCTTTCAACTCACAAGTATGGATAACAACAATGAAGAAGGAGCTTAAGATGATATAAAAAAATAAAACATGAATGTTATTTGACAAACCTATTTATAAAAAGCTAATTGGTGTGAAATGGATGTTCGAAACCAAGTTGAATATAGATGGGAGTATCAATAAACATAAAGTAAGAGTTATAGTGAAAGGTTATTCACAAGAATCAAGTATTGACTTCACTAACATGTTTGCTCCAGTATCTAGGCTTTATACAATAAAGCTCTTGCTTGCTCTAGCAGCACAAAATGGTTGGCAAATTTTTCAGTTAAATGTCAAATCTGCATTTCTGAATGGTATTCTAAATGAAGAAATATATGTTAAACAACCTGATGAATTTTAAAAAGAGATCATATCAAACAAAATGTATCTATTTAAGAAGGCTTTGTATGGACTTAAATAGGCTCCTAGAGCCTGGTACAACATATTGGATGGGTATCTTTTAAGTTTGGGCTTTGAAAGAAGCATGAATGAAGTAACTTTATATGTGAAGAATGTTGACAAACATACTCTAATCGTATTAGTGGATGTAGATGCTTTATTGATTGCAGGAGGCAAGGAATAACTAGTAGAGGAATTTAAAACCAACATAAAGATAAGTTTGAGATGAATGAACTTGGTTTGTTATCATACTTTTTAGGCATGGAAGTAACTCAGTAGGAGCAAGGTTATTTCCTATGTCAAAAAAGTTTTACTATAAAGCTACTAAACAAATTTGCAATGAAAAATTACAAACCAGTCAGTACACCTATGGTACTAGGATAAAAACTAATGAAGGAGGATGGAGCTCCCAAAATTGATGGTAAAGCCTATACAAGTTTAGTTGACAGCTTGTTGTATTTAACTTCTACACATCCATACATTGTTTTTAATGTCAATTACCTTTCTATGTTCATGCAATGTCTAAGTCAAATTCATTTTGTTACAGCCAAGAGAGTTCTAAGATATTTGAAAAGGACCCTAGAGTTTGGCATGCATTTTTTGAAATCTAGTTTTGTTAAACTTGTTGGTTTTTCTGATAGTGATTGGGTTGGAAGTGATGAAGAAATGCTGAGCACCTCAGGTTAATGTTTTGCTATAGGAGGAAGCATTTTTTGTTGGAACTTAAAAAAATAATTAGTGGTTGCACATTTCACTGCGGGGGCAAAATACATAGCAGCATACGTGGCAGTAAAACAATTGATATGGCTAAGAAAAATGCTAAATGATCTAGACTTTGATCAATAAAGTCCTATAGAATTGTTCTATGACAATACATCAGCAATAGTTATTTCAAAAAATTATGTTTTTCATGACAGGACCAAGTATATTAAGATCAAGTTCCATGCTATTAATCAATTCCAGCAAGAAAGGAACTAGAGATGATATATTTCACTTCAAAAGAATAATTAGCAGACCAAGCTTTTAGCTAAAAATAGACTTGAAGATTTAAATGGGGGATAGTAATATACAAGTTTGGAACCAAGAAAAAGTCTTGAAGTAATGACACCAAAGTTGAAATTAATATCTTAGTCGTATTTTATTTTTTATTAATATTTATTTGTTAGTAACATTATTATTTTGATGTTATTTAATTTATTTTTATTTTTTTAAATTTGAAACTTACTTAGAATAAGTTATATAGCTCTTTAAATGAAGTAGATTATGGTTGTTATGTTTTATATTTTTATTATGTTTTATTTATTTTATAAATAAAATAAAAAGGATAACAATAACTTTATCAATGAGTTTTTACTATTTATACTTTATATTTTTCATCTTTGTTCTTTTTATTTTTTGTTTTTTGTTTTCTAATTAATTCTTTACATATATCATTTACTAACACAGTTAATCGGGGAATTGAAACCTCAAATGATTGGGTCATTGACGGATAACTGTGTGGAGTACAATAACAAAATGAAAATAACTTAAATAAGTAGATATTAGAGCAGGAAGATATTGTCTTTATGTAAAATAGCATATGAAAATACAGTAGCAAAATCATGTCACCGTGACCTGCACATCAATCAATTAACCATTCATCGATTTCAATGTCTTGAAAGGGGAGAAAATCAAAATCCATATTCTTCCTACTGATTAAATAAACACATCTTGAAGACAAGAATTCCTGTTTAGCATTTCATGTTATAGCAGCTATACACTGAAGCATAAAGAGATAGCAAACAGCCAAACAGTGCACATGATAGAAAGGTTACCATTGAGCGACTATGGCTTAAGTACCGAAAGCTAGAGTTTGACATGGGATTGGAAAGAATAGTTAGAGCTTGGGCTGAAGAAGAATTACAAAGGGTAAATGAAGAGCCTAAAGGATAAACTCGATGAAGCCTAAGATGCTAATAAGGAGTTAGAGAGAGCTCTTTTTTTTGCTATAAAAGAACGAGCTCGTCTCGCAACACTACAAAAACATTCTAGTAATGATGCAAACACGCTAAAAAAAGGATAATGAAGAAGTTTAACGCCAATAACAAAGGTAACTAGAGCACTGGATGGATATCAGTGATACAAATTTGGCAGCTGCTGCTATCTTAATCTGCTACAATGGACAAAATCGTCAGGGGCGTAGCCTTCGCAAGGCCTCATCTGCCAGTACATTGCTGATCAAGAGCGAGAATATGGACCTAAAGATTTTAGGATCTACCTAGCACAATGTTAAGATTTTCTAGAGGAGATACATGAGCGTGGTAGAGTTTACAAAGCATATGACAAAGACCAGTCAGTTGCATTGGCAAAATACTTTTATGTATCTTCCTAGCTATTTTTGAATGAATTTGATGTTGAATGCTTTCTTCTCAGATGTATAATGAGTCAATAATTTAGGTCTAAATAGGAAACACGATATCTTCAACTATTCAATTTTCTTTTTTAGTTTAGAATTGATTCAGACAAGCCGAAAGAGAAACAAAACTTTGTAGAAACACACGGAGGCACAACTCTTGCTCTGATCATGTTGTTGCTGTCCATTCTCCCTGGGGGTCTCAGCTAGGTAGGAAATCAATAAATAACGTCTCTCTTCTCCAAATTTAACTTTATTTTCCCGCGTTTCTAGTCTTGACTCCTAGTTGCACGCTCTTTCTTTCCTTTCCCACCAAAATCTACTTTGTGCAAACACCACCACCATCAGCTAAAAGAAGAGGCAAAACCACCACCCCCAGTTACCCCCCAGCCACCATCTCCTATGCAACGATCCTGTTTAAAGTGTATTGAAATATCAATATTTTGCTTTGAATTCCCCCACTGTGTCTATATGTATATATTTTGATGAATGAATAAATATCAAGGATCAAGAAACAGAACAGGAGCCAATCCTCCACGCATCTTGGGATCAGATCAATAGTCCTGCTACACTTCCGTGGAATTAGATCATGAATAGACTTATTCACACCCCAACAGCAAAGTTCCGCCGCTTCAGGCGCCACCACCATCATGCCACCAGCACAACAGATCCTAACCCTCTCCAAATCCTATGGCGGTACCAGATACTGGATCCGGACAGCGAGATTGTAATGTATTGGAACCATGTCTTCCTTCTCACTTCCATCATTGCACTCTTCATCGACCCTCTCTACTTTTACCTCCCTTATGTCGGTCCTCAGAACCGAGACCGAATTACTATCCATTCAGACTATATTTATGTTTGCTTATCCATCGACAAACAACTTTCTGTGTTGATTACGTATTTTAGGTCCATTGCAGACATGTTTTTCTCCCTTCATATTCTTATGAAGTTTCGTACAGCTTTTGTTGCTCCTAGTTCTAGAGTTTTTGGACGGGGCGAACTTGTTATTGATGCTAAGGAGATTGCAATGCGTTATCTCAAGTCTGATTTCCTCGTTGATCTGGCTGCTGCGCTTCCGCTTCCTCAGATTGTCATCTGGTTAGTAATTCCGGCCACAAGAAACAACAGCACTGACCATGCCAACACCACGCTCTCGCTTATCGTTCTTATTCAATACATTCCCAGAATGTTTCTTATCTTTCCTTTGCATCAAAGGATTGTAAGATCTACAGGCTTTGTTGCCAAGGCTGCTTGGGCTGGAGCTGGATACAATCTAATTCTTTACATGCTGGCCAGCCATGCATTAGGTGCTTCTTGGTATACATTGTCCATGGGGAGGCAATTCTATTGCTGGAAATCAGAATGTACGAAAGAGAATAAAGCAGGAATTGTTGGCTGCATCCATAGTTATCTAGATTGTAATAGTTTGGGAAATCCTGAACGCCAATATTGGAGGAATGTTACCGATGTTCCTGCTAATTGTGATGCACGTAACAGCACTCTCACGTTTAAGTATGGAATATTTGCTGATGCTTTTATCAATGATGTTGCTTCCTCACGTTTCATTGAGAAGTTCTTGTACTGTCTCTGGTGGGGCTTAAGAAATCTGAGCTCATATGGTCAGACCTTGGAAACGAGCACATTTCTGGGTGAGAATGTGTTCTGTATTCTCATATGCATTATTGGTTTAGTTCTCTCGGCACAGTTAATTGGCAACATGCAGACAAACTTGCAATCAATGACGGTGAGAGTTGAAGAGTGGAGGATTAAGCGGAGGGATACAGAAGAGTGGATGAGGCATCGTCAGTTACCTCCAGATTTGCAAGAACGTGTTCGCCGATTTGTTCAGCACAAATGGCTTGCTACTAGAGGAGTTCATGAAGAATCGATACTGCATTCATTGCCTTTGGACCTCCGACGAGAAATTCAGCGACACTTATCTCTGGCCCTTGTTCGTCGCGTCCCATTCTTCTCACAAATGGATGACCAGCTACTCGATGCCATATGTGAACGCCTGGTGTCATCATTGAGTACCGAGGGAACTTACATAGTTCGAGAGGGTGATCCAGTAAATGAGATGTTGTTTGTCATCAGAGGACAATTAGAGAGCTCAACCACTAATGGAGGAAGGTCTGGATTCTTCAATTCCATCACCCTTAGACCTGGTGACTTCTGTGGTGAGGAATTACTCACTTGGGCCTTAATGCCAATATCAAGTGCAAACCTGCCTTCTTCAACACGAGCTGTGAAAGCCCTTTCTGAAGTTGAAGCTTTTGCACTTGAAGCTAAAGACCTTAAATTTTTTGCACATCAATTCAAGCGACTGCAAAGCAAGAAGTTGCAGCATGCTTTTAGGTACTATTCTCACCAATGGAGAACATGGGCTGCTTGTTTAATACAATCTGTTTGGAGAAGGTATAAAAAGAGAAAGATGACAAAGGAGTTAGCTTTGCGAAATAGCATTGGGTACATTCAAATTCCTGAGCGAGAATATTACTATAGTGACGATCAAGCAGACGGAGATTACGAGGAGTAGAGTGGTGGGATGTAATCGATGACAACGCAGACAATGTCTATCATCTCGTAGCCACAACCTTGGCTTCAAGATTTTCCGCAGACACTAAAGCAGAGATTCACCAGAAGAGTGGTTCGTTCTGCTTCCTCCAGCTTAAACATGGGACACTTGTGTAAATCAGATGTGTCTGATTTCAATTTGACCAAGAAGATTTTGATTTCATACAGGAAAAACTGGCTGTAAATGAAAGAAAGTGGCGCTGACCAGAAAGTAGTCAGAAATTTGTTTAAGATGTACGTGCACTGCTTGACTGGATGCATTATCACTTTCTTAATTTAATGTGTCTAAATTTTTCATCATAAGCTGCCAAATAGTTTTAATAAAATAGTTCAAGGCGCAGTTGAAACAAAATAAAAATAAAAGTAGTAAGGCGTTTGATTTGAAAGTTGAGGCTGGTGAAGCACAACTAATCTGCAACTCAAGATGGTAGCCATACTTCTCGCTTTCCATGATCTTTGTGTTAAGCCTTCCATAGTGGCCGATGGCTTACTCTTCAGATCTGTGTAAGAAGCTGCATCTCACTTTGATCATCGTTAAGACATTTTATAGCTTCATCAAAATGATATCCAACAAGCACTAGTACTGGTTTCTGGAATAGCTTTAGTTGTGCCATAGTGATTGGGATAATTGTACTACTCAGGAGACAGTGCAACAGAATTCAGTAAGCCAGAAAATTATAAACCAAATTCGACAGACAGTTTGTTTCGAATGATGCACTTCCTTCCTGTGAGCACTAAGCACATCTTTGCCTTCTCCAATTCCATCCCCAATTTCCAGCCCCAGTAGAGATAAAATATCATGGTCATAGAATCTGCAATATAGAACATTTTGGAATTTTCTAATTGCCACATATATATATATATATATATATATATATATATATATATATATATATATATATATATATATATATAAACCATCTCAAGACTAGGTCTGTTAATATGTATATTCTGAACATTAGGATTGCTGAATCTTGAATAAGAAAAGCATTTGCGCACATGATGGTGCAGGCTGGTACATGCTAAATCAATGAAAGATGATTTTCCTTTCCTTAAACGACAGTAACTCAAGAACACTCGATTTTCTGAGTGTTATCTTTCCCCTCTTTGTTCTGGCGTCAGCCCTCCTTTCCCACAACTAGGACAGCTCTTCAAGCCAAATCCTTGGCAATCAAAACATCTGAAACCATATTAAATTTCCTCAGAAACAAATAAAAGAGAAAATTTTGAATGTAATATCCTTCATATAAAATGATACGCAACTAATTAAGTTCTTCCAAAATAGGTGAAAAATTACTTCCAACGCTCGAAGATATTTCCATTCTTCTTATTTTTACCCGTTCCCTGGAGAAAAAAGAATCATTAGTTATGCAGTATTTCAGATGAGACTAAAAAAGGCACATACATTTCAATGAGTTACAATTCAGAACTAATATCCCTCTAGAATTCATAATGAAATATTCTCTGACAGGAAAAGGGTAGCTAGGAGGTGTAGACAAAGTCACAATCAGGGCAAAAAATCAGTGGAATTATTATTATTACTACTATTTTCGTTAAGAAAGAGTTAAATATTTGCAGCACAAACAGGGCAATTCGGAATATGCTCTGCCCTGGGGTTCTTACAAAATCAACTCCATGTATGAAAACACTGACAAGACACGTTGAAGGGACAATACCTTGCAGCCTGCACACTCCATTGCACCTTTGCCCCCACAAGTTTTACATCCGTTCAGAATCTGCAAGACACGTGATGAAGGATATTAAAGACGAGCAGTATTGAATTTCTCCACATATGCATAGTCCAAGAAGCGTAGAGTCTTCACTCTTATTAGGGAAAGCGTGTAGAGTTATCACTCTTGATAACATCATAAAAAACTGCCATTCTAGTCCCATTAATGCACACTGTCGCAGCAGCTAAACAACAAATATACATCATTGCAATTTGCAATGAAACTCAAGTGCCAGTCAAATTGGTTATCCAGTGCATTTTTATCTAATAATAATACTGATAATCATGGATTTGCCTCATTGGATCATAAAGAGCTCAAAAAGATCACCATAGGAATATATATCTTACCGAGTTGAGTGAAAATCCACCAGATTTTGCAGCAAAGACTGCAACTGTTCTCAGTTTTTTCTCTGGGCACATGTTACATATTCTGGGACGAAACCCGGGATGGATTGTTAATGCGGGAAGACTGATCAAGTTATGGCCACACAAAAGATATAATTTGGTCATTGTTTTTCGCTTGATGAATCTAACAACGTCGCTCTTCCCCTGGGACTTGAAATGTGATCAGTTTATGGTCCTTGATGTTTGGTTGTGGTAAAAGAGGTGATACCATAGCAGGAAATTGCCAGAGCCACAAACTTTTTATGGGCCATTATCCTCTTTCTCACCTGGTCCACAGGTGCTTTAAAAGAAATGACTGGTTATTTATGTTATCGTATAAGCTTTGAATCTCACATATTGGTTATATTTTATATTGATTTTGTTTATATAAATATATTTAACTTTTAATAAAAATTTTATTTATTTTTAAAATTTATTTAATATTTTTTAATGATTTTTTAATAATAAAAATAAAGTTACTGGAACAAAAATATTTTGTAAAGATAATTATAAAGTTATTATAATTATAAAATCGAACAAAAATATTTTGTAAAGACAATTATAAAGTTATTATAATTATAAAATTACTATTGCATCAAAACATTGTTCCTAAATGCTCTTGGTTAATGCTCTATTAAAATTAGATATTAATTAAAGTCTTCGAAATTAGCTTATATTATGTTTTTTTAATTAAAAAATAGTTATTCTTAAATAAGTTAAGGTATAAAAAATACCTAGAACTAAGATATAAGTGTTTGTTATATAATATGTATACTGAATTGATCTATATGAGAGCTCCATATAAAAAAATAATTTGTTGTTATGAAAAAACTCACGTAATGCTTGTGTAAATAATTTTTGGATTTGATATCACTAAGTTATTTTATATAAAGAGTTTTATCTTTTGATTTTATTATATGTTGTCTTAATTAAGAATAATAGATGAATAAATATTTGATATAATATAAACTATATGAAAATATATAAGTGATTAAGAGATGATTTATTATCTTATGTAAATTAAAAAAAGAATAGGATAATAAATGAATAAAAGAGATGATTCATTATCTTATGTAAATTAAAAAAAGAATAATTTATATACTTTTAAATAGTATTTTGATTAGATGAACTGGGGGGAGAATATTTAAAAAAAAAAATAGTAACATGTAAATTGTTCTTGTAAGAACGAACATGGTAGATTTGGAAGTTGAAATTGCAAGGCAAAAGACAAATAGAAGATCGTTAGTGTATGATGCGGCCACTTTGGTAATTATCAAAGATATATACACAACATCCTTGCACTACAAACAAAAAAAGAAGAAGAAGAAGAAGAAGAAGAAGAAGACGAAAGTGATAAAATCCAATACAAAAGCTATAAACAAAAGCATATTGCAAATAAAGAAAGGGGCTCCCAGCTTCTTTAGCAAAAGTGACCATAGAGCTTCCATGGATTGAGTAGTAGCTCGAACACATGGTGCTGGTTGTAATTATCATACACATGGTGGTCTGGAATCAGTTATCCTGCATCGTAGAAACAATCCAAGTTATGCATAGAAAAGCATCATCTAAAATCGAAATTAAAGGCCAAATATCTGAAGGCATAACTATATTTATGAAAGGTATATTTGTGCTGGAAACATAACATCTGAAGCATGAACATTGCATTAAGTGGGAGGTATTTGTTCTAGACGCAGATCTGTTATATTGACAATGACAAAATGTCTTCACCCATAATTTGATGGAAAGGAAAAAACTGATGTATAATAAGTTGCCTAAATGATGTTGTTTGTAAATTAATCTGTTGAGAAAGTAAATGTAAGCATAAAGTGAAGGTGTTAAAGTAGCGCCATACAGCCTTTTATAGGAAATGAAAGAGAAGCTGATTATTGGAAGAAGAATAACTGAAAAAGGTCAGATTAAGCTGCATAAAGCTGAAGAAGAAAGCATTTTTTGAAGGGAAAAAAATGGGTGAAAGGACAATACATATGATCAAAACAAAGAAATTACGAGAGAAATTCTTCTTTTTGCTTTTATAATAAAGAAAAATGCTAATATTGACGGCATTAAAATATAAAGATTTAAGACTTCCAAGTCTTTAAAATCATGACTATCTTGGAACAATAAATGGCAAGACAGCGGGCAACTTTATACATGGGCATAATTAAAAGATGAAGAAGATAATAAAGGGATGGGAAGTTGTGGCAGTGCAAAGGGGACTTGAAGAAGAAAGAAACCTTTGTAGTAGAAAGCAAAACAGCATGCATTTGTGAACAAAGCCTAGATAAACCTAAATAAATCATGTGGCAGCACAAAGAAAGGAAGCATGGGATTGTAGAGAGTTTTGACAGAGGCCGGGGAGTCTGTGCCTGTATTTATTCATGTTTTATATGCGCTTTTCTAAGAACAAATATCATTTTTTTTGTCAGCAATAAAAATTGAAGTGCTTTATTGTTTTCATTTCAAAGACCCAGCAAATTTTGTGGGTAGCTTTGGGTGATAAAGCAAGGCTAAACACAACAGGAATTTTAAATATAGAAAGTTATCACGACTGTCTTTCCCATAATGAGTAAGCTGTCAACGTCGCCATTGTTCTTGGTAAGAACTCATTCATTGTCATGTTCATTTTAAGAATCAAGGTTTAATGTTTAGCAAGCAATCAGTGGTAGACTTTTTATATTATTTTCTCAATTTTTATATTTTTCATAGGTGCATGAAAATGATCATTTAATGATTTTTTTATTTTTTAGTTGAAGCTTGCTTGCTTTCACGATGATGATAAGTTTTTGCTTTGAAAACAATGCTTCTCATTAAAATACATGTTTTTGTTAAAATAAAAGGAAATGCATGAATAAAAAAATTGGGTTTTTGAACAGTGTTCCGTTTTTAAGATAGCTATAAATAGATTTTGGAGACTTGCCATAAACGAAGCCTTCTTTTATCGTTACCGAATTCCTATTCTCCCCTCCTCTGACTGCTAAGCTCAAAGCAAACACCTCCATGGCGATTTAGCAAGCCAGCTGTCTCCATTTCTTAAGCTCCCCAACGAACCCCCCGCCATTTCCATGGCGAAATCGGATAATTCGAAATCGAAATTCCCTCCTTACGTCGATTCCTCCGCCAATTTACAACCTTCCAACGACCCCAATTCTTACTCGCTCGAGAAATTTAGACTCTACGAGACTAGACAAGTAGCAAAATTGAATCATTCTTTTATCTCTTTTGATTTGAAATTTGTGCTTGGATTTTGGAATTTGAAGATTAAATTAGAAAACGGTAGAATTTTTTAGATTTTTAGTATTTAGGGTTTCGTGTAATGGCGGTTTCAGTTGATTTGAATTGATTGATGGTTAATATTTAAATTTCTTGAATCTTTAGTTTAATTAAGAATTTCATTGTTTTCGGAAGAAATTAAAACATAACTAATAAAAATATTCTTGATTTTTTCTTAATCAGAGATTTTATCTAGTCGGGAGTGACAGGAACAGGAAACTGTTTCGGGTATTGAAGATTGATCGATCAGAGCCGTCTGATCTCAATATTAGTGAAGATCTAGTTGTTTATTCTCCACAAGAAATAAACAACTTGCTTCAGCGAATAGCTGAAGGGAATCGTGCCACTGGGGGCCTAAACTTTGTAGTGAAGGCTTATGGGATTGCAGGTTAGTGTTGGTTGACCAATTCTTGTTTGTGTATTTTTATGTTTTTGATGTGGACTTCTTTGTGACAGTGGTTTTACT